AAAAAATGCCGGCAACAGCAGATTTTCGACTCAGACCTCAAAGGGGCGTGGCATTATAACCACGTGACATTTACTCCGATCGCCAAAAATTTTATGTTATATTGTAGATTGATCTATATGTTATCCATTCTATGTGTTAGACTTACGATAAAAGTAAAGGTGGGGATACCAGAGAGCTTCAAAGTAGGATGGTACCCCCCCCAAAAAACTGGGTCGAGTCACCTTAACACAAGTCAGGGTATCTGATTTTATATCTGCAGCCTCCTTAGGTATGTCACGCAGTCTTTTGTGGAGATGAATGTACAGCAAGACCTTTCCAGTTCCGCAGACAGGGCTAGAGTGACAATGGCTACCCCTCTGTTTCAGTGTACGAGTTGGCCTTGAGCTTGCGAAGGACTATAATGCATGATGAGTTCCACATAGTTCTGTGTAAGGGGCTTGAGCAATACTTCCTATCCCTCTGTTTCCGTGTATGAATTGGCCTTGTGCTTAGGAAGAAAGTGAAAGCTAGTAGGAACAGGGCCCAATAACATCTCACTGTAGGATAAAAAACAATAATATTAAAGTTGAACCTCTCATAAGCAACCACCCAAAATGCGAAGAGTTAGTGCTCACTTACAGGGAAGTGTCACTTACGAGAATTGAACTGCAGGAGGTCTTTTACGAGAAGTCCGGGCGAGAATGTATTGCATGCAATTTGTAAGTGATATTAATAGATAATATGTGTAAATCCACGTTGTTTCTAACGTTCTTCTCATTCTCCAAGTGGCGTAGTACATCCAGCGAACCAAATGATGAGACCATTGTATGTGGTCGCTTAGAAGAGGTTAAAAACAATAGAAATTTCTAAACCAGTCATCCTAAAAGGTGGTCGTGGTCGTTTACGAGATAGTGGTGTAACGATTAATCAAATTCTCGATTAATCGCAATTATGACCGTTCGGTTCGATTCAAGATGATTTGCTTCCACGTTTCGATTTTGGTTCGATTTTCGCATACCTTTTCCAGGGTACCTTCAGTGAGTTATTATACTGTAAAATCAGAATCCAGAGCTCTTTAAAATGTGCGTTTTTGATTGACAAAAATGATTGACAAATTAAGGGTTTAGGGTTGCATGTTGTGTACATTATGCAATATGTTACAAGAATTAAGAAACATTCACATAATGAAATCGAAATAATCGAAATCGAAAGGCAATAATCGAATTCGAATCGAATCGCAAGGAATATGAATCGTTACACCCCTATTGCGAGAGATGGTCATTTTTTTAAGGGGCGGGGGGAAGGGGGGGGGGGTTATTCGGATCTAAAGTGAAGGGAAGGATCAAACAAATGGGGGCAAAAACCAAAACCCCCCAAAAATCCCTGGGCCAAAAATTAACCCCAAAAACTCCCTTACCAAATTTTCGAGCCTTAAAAATTTCCAGAAAGCATTAAATGATATATCACGTTCTACTTTATTTGGTTATACTTTATTCGCAGAATTACGCAGCCAACAATCTTCAGATTATTTCAAATACCCCCCCAAAATCCCTTCTTAGATCATGCCACCCAAAAAATCACTTGCCAAATTTTCCGGAATCAAAAAATCCCGGAATCAAAAATTTCCAGCCCAAAAAAATCATTTTCTTATCCCTATCACTGGAAATCCGGAGTACCCCCAAACCCTCCAAGGGTTCCAACTTTAAGGCTTTCACTGGGAAAATTTGGGTGTTTTAAATCTACAGTCACTTATGGCAAGTAGTCGCTTACAAAAGGTGATAGCATGTGGAGGTTCGACTGTATAAGCACTGTTTGGGAAATGAGCCTGTGCTCTTCTTCCTAGAGCTGCATTAATTACCTTATTTTGACCCAATCAGCACAGTTGCCACTTGATAACAAAGTCTCCAGATCGTTGCGTCCAAAATAAGGTGGAGGTCGTTCATTGATTCGCTGAGGAAGTCGCTCTAGAAGTCCGACCGGAATGTACCTGCAAACAGACATGTGCTCCTGTAGTGACACAAAATGTAACCCACTGGACACACCCGGAAGGGGGGGTACTTGGGTCAATTTTTGCTGGATATGTGCTACTGGCCTCTCAGAATCCCTACCCAATTTTAGTCTATTCTGTGGCCAATTATAGACCCCATCTTAGTCACTTTCGGTCAAATGTTATATCAATTTTGCAATCCAAACTAATTACTTACAGTAGTCACTTTTTTGACCAAAAATCTTTCCATTTTTAAGTTCCTACTAACCCGAATTATTTTCTTACCCTCAAAATCCCCAAAATGTTTGACCCCATTCTGGTGACACTATTGAAAAGGCAACCCCTTTATAGTCAATCCAGTCTTGAAATGGCAACCCCATCCAGTGGCACATCCCTATTTGCTCATTACAAAAAAGTACTATAGGTGTAGCCTCCCTGGGTGGGCGTAATATCTTACCAAATTTAATATTTCATCAGGCCTTCGTTAAGTTACGTCATACAAATATTGAAAATACACTAGAAAAAAAATGAAAGGGGTAATAATTTTATTTCTATAGCGCTCTTATCCTATGTTCAAGGCGGGTATTGTTGTTTCTCTCAAAATAACTTGCAAACAAAGGCTAGACCCTGATGATGAGCTAGTGTTGAACACGTTTGGATCGTTTTGAATTTTTTAACCTAGTAAGTAGTTCAAAGCCTAAAAAATCAGTAACTTACCGACACTGGAATGACAACCACTCCAGAAGAAATTTTCTGGTATTTTCAACTCCCTGAAAACAAAAAATAAAATTATTAACCAAAGGACAAAAATTAACTGTTAAGAACTTTGAGTAATTTAAGTTTTTTATTTTCAATTCTCGACAGAATTCATTTCATAAGAAAGTGATCACTTGATTCCTTTTATTTGTTGATTGTTTTTATTGATTGCCGATTTTTATCGATTGACTACTCGTGGTATACATGTAACCTGAGTTGGATAACATGCTCTTATCTTAACACTCTTGCGGTTATTTACCTAACAGTATTTGACATACCTGTGAGTCAGATCCCCAGTGCTCCAAACCAAAATTCACGAAATCTCGCAACATGTCTAAGCGTTCATTTGATGAGATATCCCAGTGCCTATAATGTAGTTCAAGAAATTCCATTCAGTCATGCTGAAGAAGAGAAGTGACAATGATATCATAAAAACTAAATTTGTGACGTTATGGGATAGAGTGGCATATCCAGAAAGGACAAGATGAAATATGCCTGACTTGCTAAAAATCAAATTGGTGGGGAGATATATAAGCACCATTATGTTCTGATGACTCCATATAAATCCTTTTAAAATAGGCCTGGATAGTTAACGTTACGATTGATCCAAGCCAAGTTTTATGGGATCGATCATCATCAGGCCATAACAATGCTAACATCAATACCCCAACAATTTGCATTAACAGGATTAATTTTTAACAAGGAGACTACATTTATCTTGTTCTTTCTCAGAATAAGCCAACTATAATACTATAATTTCACAAATTCAATTTTTGTGATGTCAGACTTCTCTTCTTTATAAAATGTAACCCCACTCCAGGCAACTGAAAAGAAACAAATTGGCCGCAGCTGATAGCACCTGCGAGTTGAGAAGAGCCTTTTCAACAAAAAGGCAAGAAGGCCTCACCTGTTTTCCTTGATTTCCGTAAATATCCAGGGTTTGATCAGACCTCCCCTTTAGAAACAAAACAATTCACATATTATAAACAACACCCTCTCCTAGCAGATCACGCTTTAATTCCTAATCTGGACACCTCCCGACTTTTGCACAGTTGTGTCCCAAAGAAAAATCCAACCTGATGCAATCCCTGTGTCCATGATACATGCTCCCCAATAATGCATACACTTGACTAGGGTGCTGTGAATGCCCACAAAATAATAATGGAGGAGTTGTGTTGTATTCTGAAGTGGTTTGAGTCTGGCAACAACTTCTCCAAGTTTGAATTTTAGTGCAAATGAAATTATTGTTACTCTTTTCACGCTTTATTCTTGGCAAATAAACACATGTGGGAGAAGTTAACCTTGAAGTACTGACATGAGCTTAAGACATAGTCATAAAATTGCCAACACTGGCACGCCATTTACATTGCATTGCTGGCTGGCAGTTTCAGCTCATGGTGCCATGGAGAGTCAGGCCTTAAGAATGTACAGGTAAGCTTCAGACCTGCCTATAACAAGAAAATTAATGATATAAAATAATTTTTTTCAACTTTAAGCTTTTAACTCTTTAAACCCTAAAATCAAAATTAGAATTGTGATTTGATGCTCCTATTCATTTCATACGGAAGTAGTGGATCTTGTGTGATCATGTCTGTAATTCTCACGACCACTCTGTTTTACAAAGCATTGATATTGCAAGGAGAAATTTGATGCTGATCACTCTTTATAGGGTTTAAAGGGTTAAGAAAAACACTAAGTGTACGTACCTTGCCACCATCAAACCGGAAACTCCTGTTTGCTCCTTTCGCAATATGGCATCTTCATAGGAGAGGATGTCTCCATTGCCTGTCAAAAGTTACAACATAAATAATTTATTAATGCCTATACCTTGAAAGAACTTAACTTTGACCACCTGAAATAGAATAGTCACGGCTTATCAGGGTGCAGAGAAAGTCAGTTTTTAAGCTTGCCATGTAGCTAGCATGCACTAGCTCAAGAGGATGCTCATGAGCCATCATAAATGCGAGAGCAGCACACAAAAAGAGGCGAGAGTGTGAGTGGTTGGAAAGAAGGGGAGAGCTTGCAACGATCTCCCATAAATTTTCATTGCCACCCCAGAAACCACAGGAAACTGCAAATTAAAGTCTTAAAACTGTCACAGGAAACAAGAAATGTGTCAGCTGTTGGTCCATAACCCACATCAGGCCAAGCCAAGCGCCAGTTACGCTAGTGTTGTCAATTTCAGGTACAAAATCTTACAATTACACACAAAGACAAAACTACTGAAAGAAGCAATTGGTGTGGACCTTCTAGTCTGGATTGTAGGCTATAAGCTGAGTCGGATCTACAATATCCCTTGAATTGAATTCAGCAGAGACTTGTCGCTTCAAAGCTGCTGCATTCTGTTTAAACTTTGGCATCATCACAAAATCGCATTTGTTACTTTCCACTTTGTCAAAAAAAAGGTTATTCATCCTACAGTGGTTTTCTTTTTTTCTTGAGGAGATCGATCTTTGATGTATCTGCTTGGATATGAAATCAACTGATTTTGTTGTGGGGAAGTTTTTAGACACAACAAACCCAGTGAGATTAAGTATCCTTATGTTTTCCTGGCAACCCCTTCTCAGCCTTCTGATTTTCCGGTTTATATGTTCTGCAAGGTTGAGATCCAAACTGAATGGTAAAAAATACAGTCACATAGTCCTAAGAAATTGTTCATGCACCGATTGCAAAAGGAGAGAACAATCATACAGTGGAATATAGGTGTGCACCACAGTGCTGGATCCAGACCTCGAGATAAGCGGGGGCAGTCACCCATTTTTCAGCAAGTAGTAAGATAATTTGGTAATGAAACAATAAATAACAACAAAACATGAAAATCAACCATTTGAAAGCAGAATTGGAAATGTTCTTTGAAAGTTTCTTTAACATTCTAAGAAAACTCAGTCTTTTGGGAAGGTCTCTTACACATCTACAGTAGTGCTTTATTTATAGTCAATTTTAATCTCATTGCTAGTAAGGTCAACTCTTTGGGGGGGGGGAGGAGTGGGTGGTTTATTCGAGGCTAGGCATTAAATTTCCCCATCTACAGGGTAGGTGATTATTCGTGGTGGGTACTTATTTGAGGTTGAGGGCTTAATCAAATAAATACGAAAGTAAAATGGATTATTTACCAAATAAAGGCATTGGGGCTGCAGCTTTTGCACACTCATTGATATACTCCCAGTCAGCCAGTCTTGTGTATCGTTGTTCCCTGGAGCGACCATGGAGCTAGAGTGCCAGCAATAAACACAATCAAATAGAAACAGGATAAGTTGATTGCTTGAAACACTCCCAGCTATCTCAAAATAAATTCATTATCTTCACATAGTCCATAAAATGCACCTTGTTTACGGTAGCCATTGTTTCCAATTTCTCCTGGGTATTACAGTCGTCCCAAGAGAAATCGAAGGCACTGGTTATGCAGGGGGTAAACAATGTGCATTATGGTCTATGCAAAAATGGTGAATTTATCAAACTACAGCTGTAAATTTCATGATATCCAAGACACTTACAGTTACAAGTGAAACATCCCACATTTTGAGATTGCTAATTAGCTTGTGTGCATTCCATGATGTCTTTTTGTCACTGATTCCTGTTCTCATCTTCACCGTTAGGGGAATATCCAGAACCTTTAACATAAAAAATGCAACATTAAAATAAGGTTAATAACCGATGCCCAGTCAGCAGAAACATGATCAGATTATGCTTTCAAAATCAACGACAGCAACAACAACAACTTCATTATAACATGAATTAGAAGAGGATTCATAGAACAAGTTAGAAGAAAAAATATTATCGTTGTACCAAATATGGTTTCTGCTGGACCAAAAGTGAAAAACTAAGAGCCAAAATATGGGCCTTTGACCTATGTTTCACAACCAAATGTACATCCACACAGCTTACAGGCACGAAAGGAACTAGGTTTTTACTTACATAATTCATGCCTCTGACAATCTGTTCAAACTTTGTCATTCGACCCATCAGGGCACTGCCAGCTCCCTGAAATGTGAAAAATCAAGTTGGAGCTGTTGTTGGTTTTCATTGTTAGCAAGCCCTAAGATTTCAAATGTCATTGGGAAATGATTTTTTGGTCCCTTGCCCGAAAGTCATGGGAAACCATCTGTGACAATAATGAATAATTTTTTGATTCCATGAAAATTCATGGGAATCCACTTCCTAAACGTTTTCAATTTTTTCAAAGTCATATAATTTTTTCTACGCACTGGAAGCCATAAAGCAGTAATGTGCAATGCAATTTGGGAATGATTCAAGATGACAGACAAAAGAAAACTGATAGATACTAAACAACATTTAAATTGTACATAAGCTCAGTCATGTAACTAAAGAATTTCTCAGTCAAGAATCTAAGTCGAAAATAGTGAAATTCTGTAAACTGAATGATCCCTAAATGTTACTGGGAAACTGTTTTTCAGTTCCGGATGCATTTGAATTTGTAATTCTACAACAGTTTTGAAATTGTAAATTATGACCATCTTTCAATAATTACGAGTGACTTATCACATTAATTTGCAAACTTTATCGCAATTCAGCCCTTTGGCTGCAAGTTTTTAAGATCTATCTATTTTGAGACAACGGTAATGACATGGTACTGCTGGAAACGATTGTTTCCATGAAGTCCTCTGGCTTGGGTTAATGCATGATAGAAAGATAATTAAATCTAACTGAACTAAGGTTAACATCAAAAGTGATTTTTTAAAGCATGCACTTGAAATTGGTTTCAAAACTAGTATTCATACACAATAATTTAAAGGCTCAATGCAAAAAACTTCCGCTAGTCCACCCATTTCCTTTTTTGGAGAGGGAAACTTCTTACAAACCTGTTTAAAGACTAAATCAATAGGGCATCCAATATTAATGTCCACAAAGTTGATAGGTACTTCATTCTGAAGAAGTTCCGCACATCTTGTCATGCTATCAGGATATGACCCACAAAGCTGGACAAGGAAAAAAGCAGAATAAAAAGCATTGTACATATTTCTCAGAAGCTCAGCTTTACAACTGCTGCTGTTTGCCCAAGAGATTACAGTCATTTACTAACGTGATATTCTGTAGCAATTATTGGATTCTACTTCAGTACGATCTGGAGAACTTTTTAGATCATTTTTTTCTCTCCTAGCCTTAATTCATGAATAATTAGGGCTAGGAGACAAAAGAAAGTGAGAATCAACCTAGGTTTAAAAATTCTAACCTAAATTTAATTCTGACCTGTAGCAAAGCCACTTGACAGCAGATAGTTTTTTGTGGAGCCTTTTTCCCACGACTTTAATGAGGAAAATGGTTAAGGCCATTTAATAAACTCTTAAACTTGTCATTTGTTGCTGCTGCTGTTGTTAATAACCAGGAAAGTTTAAAAAGCAGCAAGACACAAAGGAAACTAAAGAGTAGAGAAGCTTTTACTAGATAATGATTTTTTACCTGAGCACCAAAAATATCCTCTGAGCTGTGTCGTTTGAGAAGTGCCCACTCTGACATGCTAGCCTACACGTATATGTACAATGTGTGTTACAACACGTCAAGATGTTGATCAACATAATTAATACAGTATGTATAAGTTACAGGTCAATTAATTAAATTAGGTTAAAATTTTTCAAAAGGACAAAGGAAATTGAAAATCAACCTTGGTTAAGAATTTTTAACCTGAATTTAATTTGACCTGTAACATATGTTCTATATTATTTTATTTACTTTACACTTACTAATATATTTTTCACTGCTCTCCACAAATTTTGTTTGGTAATTGTGATGGGAACTTTATCAAAAATCTCGATGTCTTATTTGTGGTCATCATTTCTATTGGATGCATGAGTTTTAAGTTGGATGATGTGTGAAGCATTAAGACCAGTTTTATAAAATGAAAAACTAAGACAGTGGTCTGTTATACTTTTCACAATACATGCATGTCAAATGGCTGTCACCATAATTATACAGAACCAAGAACAAAATAATGCTTGCAAAGAAGTCCTGAAAAGTGCTTTTAAAAAGTTTCAGGTGGAAAGTTTTGAGATGAACATTCCCTTCATATGTCATTGCAAAATGCTACTAACAAAGCCATATATTATGTTAAACAAAATTCCTGAATCAGCGCAATTTGAGTTCTTAAAATCTAATTCTAATTCAATATTTTCCAAATTTTTTGGTCTTGATAGTACTAGTGGAAATTTGTGATCAAAAATTACATTATACATTGTACATATTGTTTTGCAGGAAATTTTTTCTTGCTCTCATTGGTTATTTTGAGGTCACATTTATAACATCTAACAATGAAACTGTTTCCTGCCAAAATATGTGTTCGAGCAACATTGCAAAATCTATGACATCAGAGGGTAACAGTGCCCTGTTGCCTGCAAATGTTGACCGACGACCGCCGTTACAGCGAGGTTTAATGAATTTCCAGCTTCAAAATTTCCAGCTATATATTACAAATTAATCACTTCAAGACTGGTCCCTCAGTAAACAGTTCAATATTTTGTTCCCCTTAAATCTCAATGTTTCCCTCAATGAACATTGAGATTCTCAGGAAACAAAATTAACAGTTTCTCTAGATCTCAGGACCAGACTTTAAGTGTTTAAAATAACATAATACATTATGTACATAATCAAGACTATTATAATGAAAATATTTAAATTTTTATTCTCTTTTACTTACCTGAAGCAGTTTTGTGGACATGGCCATTTCACTACATGTTATGTCTGCCCCAAATTGTTTGCATATTCTGCGAAATGGTAGATTTCCCACCTAAATATTAAAAATACATATGCATTCTGGTAAACAAGACATGAATTAAACATCTAAAAAATATTACAAACACTCTATCAACTTCTGTTTAAAGTGACAATTTTTGTGTTAGACTTACAGTGGTAAGTGGAGCCAAATAAAGCTTGTCTGCAAAATTAATCTTAAAAGTAAAAGAAAGATAAAATAACCTGTTAGTTATTTTTTAATAACATCAGTAATAACATTAATGCAGGTGACGATGGCAATAACAATAAATAATAATAACAACAACAGTTAAAATAACTGGAAACTGTCAATTGAAATCAAGCCTGAACCAAGGTTGGGCATGAAAGCCACAACGATTCCAGTAGTGATAGGAGTCCTCAAGGGACTAATAAAGAAAGAGTTGGAGAAATAGATCCCAGATCCCAGAAAACATCAAAATACATGAACTGCCGAAGATCACAGCACACTACTTGGTATAGATTTTCTCTACAACACATATACGTATTTTTAATATTATTTGAAGTGTAGTTAAGAAAACGTTTTTTAGGCAGAGCGTCGGTATTGTGCCTGTTTTATTACGGATGGTCTTAACTAGTGACACAAGTTGGAGTCACAATCATGTGGACGCCTAATCATAAAGTGTTATTATTTAGTAAAAAACAGCATTTCCATTCTGCCTATGTCTCTGTTGGCTACAATTTATTGAAAACTAAACTAGCCAGAGTTGTAAGCAGAAGTGAAGTGGAAGGACTAAACCAATCACAAAAGCATGGAAATGAGCCGTGACAGTGATTGGTTAATTATCCTTCTGCTTCTGATTCCAACTTCAACAATGTGGTTTTCACTAGATTGTAATAATCAAAACCAAGGAATTAAACAAGCAGAATCATAACAAAATGGAAACTTTTCTCATTCTCATGACCCTGATTCTGTCAAGCTTATGATAATGCTTACAGCTCCAGTTTTTGATTTTCACTAGCCCAAGGTCGTAATATTATAAGCGCTCTTACGACTCCTCTTACAACTGCGACTCTGACTCCCTTGCTCTTGCTAGAGAAGACCACCTTTACCGGGGCAGAACTAGGGGGAGGATGCAAGCTTAGGGGTGTGCCCCCCCACCCCCACCCCCGAGATGACTTGTAGCTTTCTAATACAACTCGTGTTCTGCAAAATATGCAGATATGTATGATATGTATTCTCAGCAGTTCACATTATGTTATTGCTTAGTCAAAAGCCTTCTCCTTTGTATTCCCTTTTAAAATATGCTTACATCACCAGTCCTGCATTCACCCCCGCTTTAGTAACAGCCATGTTATAACACGCAGAGACTGTGCCATCTCTTCACCAAATTAAACTTAAAATTTACTCCATTTCACCTTTTTCTTTTCCTCAGGTCTGAGCTTAATAACATCCTCATCAGAGGCAGGCCCCTCAAGTTTGGCAGGAATTCTCGCCAAGTTTCCAAGTTCACTGTTAGGCTTTCCTTCAGCCTTCACTTTTGCTAGATGCTTCAAATATGTCTCAGCCTGAGGAAATTCATACTTCCTTTTCCTCAAAACATTTGTCAGCTCTTTGCTTAGAACACTCTTCGTCCTCAAAGAACCAGTTTCTTCATATAACTCTGCATTCACAACATTTCTTAAATCCATGGAAATGTGTTTCTTTCCATACCGACATGTTACACCATATATGCAATAACCAAACTTCTCAAAGTTTACACAGTTCTCTCCTATATCAGAAGCTTTGTATTTTTCCATGTACTTTGTAACGTCATGCAGATATCTGCATTTATCGCCATATGCACATTCGTCACCCCTTGCAATACTGTTGCATAACTGAACTTTGAAATCAAGTTGTACTGCTCTTGGCCTGTTTTTATTCATTCCCCTTTTCTTCTTCTTTTTTGCTGGTGGTTCTCCGGTCTTGTCGCCTTCGATTTCTTCTTTATGACTGTTTGATTCAACTTCTTTATCTTCAACACCTTCACTGTCTTCATGCTGATCAGAATTAACCGTCGTTGTCATTACTATTCTTGCATCACATTTTGAAGACTTCTTTAAAAACCTGTTTCAGGATTAAAAGACATAATCATAATGTGCACAAACGAAGGAATTTATGGGTAAAGAAATAAATATTTGATTCTTTATAGAGAAAGAACATTCCAAGCATAGTAGGTGGCCTGCAAACAAGCTCTCCGGGGCACTTTGGCAGCAGGGCAGGCAAAGGAAGGAGAGCTTGCAATTACGTCTCTGGAATTTGAATATCTGCATCGACAAAGTCCATGCAAAAAGCTGATTGGCGGAAATGACATTAGTAATGACATCATTACCCTTGGCACGTCTTATTTAAATGTTTGTTTAAATTTGCACTCGTTTCAGCTTCATGCTGATTGGCAGAAATCTGACAGCTCAGTCAATGGGGAGCTACAGGGGAATTGTAGGTGGAATTCAAATTCCAGAGACCTAGTCGCAAGCTCTCCTTCCTTTTCCCATCCCACTGCCAGAGCACCCCAGAGAGCTTCCTTGCAGGCTATATAGCAGACCCACTAAGCAGTGGATTTACAAAAAGAACGAGCAAGGATAAGCACAGTTGATTTTTGGGTAGTCTTTGGTGCAGGAGGTTCTGAGTTCAATTCCCTGGTGACCTCACATTCTTCTTTCACCTTCTTTTCTTTAAAATCTGTGTTGCTTTAATTAGCTTTAAATAGCCATAAAACAGAGCACTGATAGAGCGTGGCGGCGGGAGGGGAAGGAGTGAACCGTCGGCCTTAGGAATGAATTTCCAATGAGTTAAAGCAATATTAATGTGCATTATTTTATGCCCTAGATTGACCTTGCAAGGCAGACTCAAAACCTGGGGGGGGGGGGGGGGGGAAACCCTTTTGGGGGGGGGAAACAAAATGTTAAAGTAAATGACATAATTTTTTTTTTGTTAAATTTTTGTGTCGGAAGGAGCAAACTTTGGACCCCCGTCAAATCCACTACATCCTACGCGCCCTTTGTTTGAAA